TTTTGTACCGGGGATTGATCTCAGGACCTTGGGCTTCCTAGTCAGGCAGTGGAACCACTGAGCTAAATCCCTGGCCCGAGACCAGAATAGAAAAGCGGTCCTGGACTAAGCCCTGAGGACACCTCCCAGAGGCCGGGTGGAGGAGGCTGGAGGAGTCCACGGCCCGGGGCTAAGGTGAGTCTGGTCAGCTGGTTGACTGTTTATTTATTATTATTATTATTATTATTTTGGGGAGGTACCAGGCATTGAACTCTGGACCTTGCGCTTGCAAGGCAGGCAGCGGAACCACTGAGCTAAATCCCCAGCCCATGGTTGACTGTTTCTGAAGGGTCACGCGATGCAGAAGCCATCGCTGGTCTTCACTAGGGCAGTTGTGATAGGAAACAGGCTGCGCTGGACTCAAGCTGAGCACACAGCAGGAAGCAGAGGGGCGGAGGGGGGTGGAGGGCTGCTCTCTTCACGCCAGCTTCCTAGCCAGCCCCTCGATGAAATGATCCCACTCCACAGCCCAGGCGTTCATGAAAAAGTCCTTCTCTGCCTTGGGCAGGGAGCTGTACCTGCGGGAGGAAGAGCTCAGGTCAGCCCAGGGAGCACGGGGAGCTGGACAGGGACAGGAGGGGACCCGGTGTGGCAGCTGGAGTGACTCTGCAGTGACTGCAGAGAGCTTCCCTCACCACTCTGGTGTCTCCCCAAGTCCCGGGAGAGCGACAGGAGCCGTGGTGGGAAGGGCTAGGGTGGCTCAGTGGTGCAGCCCTCACTTCACAGGGCAAGAGCCTGGGCTCCACACTCAGCATCAGAAAAAAAAAGTTGAAGGGTGAAGAGAGGGGATTCTGCGCAGCAGGCGGGACGCTCACTTGATGGAATTCATGATCAGCAGTTTCAGGGTCCTCAGGTCGGCGCTCCTCCCGCCGATGCCCATGAAGGCCTCGTAGAAATCGTAGGACAGGCCTTTGGCCCCGTGGACAGCCGGGTTGTCAGAGCTGATCACCATGGGGTAGCCCTGGGCCATCAGAGCCGCCGCAGGGTGGTTTCTCAGGTCGGACACCAGCTTCATGACCTGCGGGAGGAGGCCAGGGAGAAAGGTGGGCATCGCTCCAGGGAATGCTAAGACCCCAGGGAGGTCATCTGTGAGCGTGGTCAGCTCCTTCCTTGGCCCTGTCCCCACTTTCTGTCCCTGTTTCCACTGGGCCCTGGGAACAGAGCCAGTGCCCATTCTCCAAGTCAGAGCCATGGCAGAGATGCTCGGTCCGACTCTCTCTCATGCTGAGCACAGTGAATCAGGTAGGGGCCCAAAGGAGCCAGGAACAGCGGGGAGCAGAGGGGTCACTTCCCTTTCTCCAGTGCTCCCACTCATTTATCCGAAATCCCACCGAACTGCGACACCCACTGCTGCCCCCTTATGATGCATGGTTTAGGGAAAAGGCTTTCTGAAATAACGTGACTAACGGGCAGCTCAGAGGGGTAGAGTACAGAAAACAAGTGAGTTAAGCAGAGAAAATTATACGGGGCAAATGCAGGGAATCAGCACAGCCTGGGGCTGGAGAGAAGATCACACCAGATCAGCCCCTAGGACCCACATACCTGGTTGGAGATGGGACAGACTTCTATGGGGATGTCCTTTGCCCTCGCATAAGCTGTGACCACTGGGTGTTTGGTCAAAGCAAATCCGTGGCCAATCCTGGTAGCATTCATTATTACAGCATCCACAAGGTTTGTGTCTGCCTGAGTGCCATACCAGTCTGGGGACAAAGGGACAGTGTTCAATAGAGAGGGATGGGGCTGGGGATTTAGCTCAGTGGTTCTGCTGTCTGCCTTGCAAGCACAAGGTCCTGAGTTTGATCCCTGGTACCAAAAAAAAAAAAA